TCTTATAGAATGATTATTTCTCCCAGTGGGCGCTTCATGGAGAGGCAAAAGCTTGGTGTGGCTGTTTCTCAACCTCTCTGGCTGCGCATACAATCCCAGGGATAGATTGGAGAAACCAGCTTTTCTTTATCTCTGTCTCCTGTCCTCCATCTCATCCTGTCTTTCACCCTTACTTTTTGCTATCTGAGCTTCTATTACTTCAATTGTGTCAGCTTCTGTTGAAACCAGAGTAGTCTGAGGTCATACTGAGACAGGGGTTCTTTGGACCTCTGCTTGGGCAATTTGAATCTCAGTTTGGGTTTTTACTGAAAACAAGGCAACCCTTCTGGTGGATGGGATGGGATGGGGTAGGGGGCCATGGGGTTGTTCCTGACTTTAAGTTTGCTCAGTTTGGAGCCCTGGGTATGGGGACAAGGTAGGAGGACAGGAGGGAGCTGAAGGTTTCACACCCAAATCTATATGCTGAGGGCATGGGTCTGGCATATCTTGCAGAGAGAAAAAGGGCAACACATATTCTACTTCTACCCATTTCCCTTGTTTTCTACAGAACCAGTCTAAGTGAAAACAGTATTAAAATTAAGAGACCTTCCAACCGGCCACAGTTCACCATTCTCCAGTGGATACCGTGGCCATGCAGTATCATATAGGAAGATCAGGCGTGTCTTCTTTAAGCTCTGGGTACCAAATCTATTCTAGTTTTTCAGGATACAGTTCAAAGAAGTGAGGCTGGGGTTGTTAGCTGCTATCTGTAAGACAGAAAATAAGCAACCAATGCCATCTTTCTACTGGAGGCATCCCTCCATGCCCTAGATGGGGGTGTAGACAGACTTTACAGCGAAGCTTTCCTTCCCTGGTCAGACTCAGTCTGTCCCTTACCGATGCAGTCACCCTACTCTCCCTCCCAGTTCTGCCACGGAGGTGGGGTGGAAATGCAACAGGGGTAGATCTGATGGCATCCCAGACTGATGTCCAGATCTTCACCATTACAACCTTGCTTGCCTAATGCCACCCGGGATGCAATCAGTTTAACCTTCTGGGATGCCTCCCAAGCTAAGACTGCTGGGGGAAACATTCATCACCTGACTGCCTGTGCACGACCCTGAGAGTATATTTCTGACCACAATAAGACTGGTATGAACATAAAACTGACATGCTCCTTCCAAGCATCACCACACCAGTATAAGTTATAGCAAAAGATATGGTGAAGGGCTGGCCAGTGAAAAAATAGTGATTTTGTCCTCAAGTTATTAGGCCCAGTCCTTCCAGTTCATTCCCACAGATTCCACAGAAAGAGTATCTAAAGAGTTAGGACAAAAACCAGTGGAGAGACTCCTCTGCTCCTCTAAAAGCTAGCATTACCAAAGGAAGAAGTCTGCTGTGCTTCCTGAGTAACCTTTCACCTGAGCGATGCTCTTGGCTCTAGAGCTCCATCTTGCTTCCAAACTTTTGACTCCTAGCAAGGTTGGGCACTTCCTGACTAGCAATCCAAGTTTAAGACCTAAGTAACAGTACACAGTAACAGCATAGATCACAAGTCCCTTGAAAGTCTATGATCCAACAGATTAGGTTAGTAGTTGAAATTCCCAAGCAGTTGCGAAATGGTCAGAGACTGGAAAGTTTGACCGAAAAAGAGTTCAGTCCACACGTTTTGCCAATTTCTGGCCGCTACCCTCACAGGGAGTTGGGTCTCTCTTGGCATTGGCAGATTGGTATAAACCCCTCACAAGGCTCCCCTTTGAGGGGCTGCCTTCAGTCATTATGAGGCACCTCAAAACAGCAGAGCAGGGCTCCTTCCTTCATGCAGAGTGTGTTATTCATTCACCCAAGCACACCATAGAGTACAGCGGAAAACATGTTTTCTACAAGAACAGAGAACTAGAGCTCCCAAGTGTCCTTACCTTGTTCTGAAGAATCCTGGACATGCGCCCAAGATGAAAGGTTGTTGCTGAACCATGAAAGATGCTAGGACTCTTGGCCTCTGGAGGAGAAGAATTCAATCCAGGGCCAGTGACAAGGCTAGATCACTCAGAACTTTTGTATAATAAAGTTTTACTAAAGTATAAAAGAGAGAACCAGGGCATTTGCCATCTGTCTCTATGGAGATTGAAACCTGTGCTGCTACAGCTGTTGACCTTTGGCACATCTGAGGGAGTTCACAGTAGAGTTAGGCACACTGTGCTCCAAGGAAGCAGTGGAACATGTCTTTAGATTGTAGGATATTTTCAGGAATTAATTTCATCATCCCAATCCTTGCATTATGGCAAAAAGCTGTAATTCAGTCTCTAGGAGCACTAATTTGTAGTTAACACATCCATTATTCTTTTTATTATGATGAAATTGTGCAGTCCTTGACACTGGAGCCGAGACCCACATTTTTTACATACATTTATTGATTTTTTATGATTAAAATAAAACCATTCAAGACAGTCATAACATGCTATTTCTATTTCATTCTTCACTTTATCAATAAAATTCATTTTATGAAAATATTTTCCTAAACAGCAAACGGGATTTTCTTGTTGACGCAGTGTTTAAAAAAAAAAATGCCTGCAATGTAGGAGATTCAGGTTTGAACACTGGATCAGGAAGATCCCTGGAATGGGATCCAGTCCAGTATTCTTGCCTGGGAAATCCCATGGACAAAGGAGCCTGGAGGGTTGCAAAAAAAGAGTGGGAATGTGACACAGCATCTGGCCCCATCACTTCATGGCAAATACATGGGGCCAACAGTGGCTGACTTTATTTTGGAGGGCTCAAAAATCACTGAAGATGGTGATTGCAGCCATGAAATTAAAAGATGCTTACTCCTTGGAAGGAAAGTTATGACCAACCTAGACAGCATATTAAAAAGCAGAGACATTACTTTGCCAACAAAGGTCCATCTAGTCAAGGCTATGGCTTTTCTAGTGGTCATGTATGGATGTGAGAGTTACATTATAAAGAGGGCTGAGCGCAAAAGAATTGATGCTTTTGAACTGTGGTGTTGTAGAAGATTCTTGACAGTCCCTTGGACTGCAAGGAGAGCCAACCAGTCCATCCTAAGGGAAATTGGCCCTGAATGTTCATTGCAAGGACTTATGTTAAAGGTGAAGCTCCAGTATTTTGGACACCTGATGCGAAGAGCTGACTCCTGGAAGACATCCTGGAATGGAAAGTCAAGTGGGCCTTAAGGAAGCATCACTACAAACATAACTCATGGAGGTAATGGAGTTCCAGTTGAGCTATTTCAAATCCTGAAAGATGATGCTGTGAAAGTGCTATACTCAATATGCCAACAAATTTGGAAAACTCAGCAGTGGCCACAGGACTGGAAAATGTCAGTTTTCATTCCCATTGCAAAGAAAAGCAATGCAAACAATGCTCAAACTACAGCACAATTGCACTCATCTCACATGCTAATGAAGTTATGCTTAAAATTCTCCAAGCCAGATTCCTACTCTAAGAATATGTATATCAATATCTTTATGTTCTGAAAAATTGGGGTTCTCATCCAGGTGAAGGATGATAACTTCAGGCTGAGCAGTTTCTTGGAGCACCACTCTGTCACCTCAACCTCACCACCACCCAAAATCAAGAAAGCCATACGTCCTACCTACCTCATCACAATTTTGCTTTCCTTTCCTGGATCTGGTGAACACCATCTTGCTTGGCTTCCTGTTTGGTCCCTGTCCATATTGTTTGTGACAGGGTCCAACAGTTTTAGGCCAAATTGCTTGTTATAGGTTTCAGGTTTCAGATTTGCTGATTTCAGGCACAGAATAACTTGACTGATGTCAGGTAGAAGGAGATTTCTGTTCAGTTAGCCAGGACTGAGTTTGAGTAAACTCCAGGAGTTGGTGATGGACAGCGAAGCCTGGCATGCTGCAATTCATGGAGTTATAAAGTGTCAGACATGACTGAGTGACTGAACTGAACTGATGCCTATACCCAACAGGACGAGTCCTCTGTCCCAGTTCCCAAGAAGTGTCTTGAGTCCCTCAGGGTTTAGCTGTCAGTCGATACACACTGAAACTGCCCACCCTGGCCTGGCACCATTGTATCCATTTATATGAGTTATTTTAAAACAGGAGGTCCTTGTAAGGACCATAGAACTAATAAGCAACCACCAAATGGAAGAATTCAGGAAAGATCAGGAGATGCTGTGTGCCCTGCCACCTCCGAGAGTCCTTCTCACTAGACTCCCATTTTGATGGGTGATGCACATGCCTCTAGGAAGGACCCAGAATCTCAATGATTGGTCAGAGACAACCCAGAAACTAATCCACCCCCATAAAACCCAAGATTGTATGCCACTCATTAGAGCAGTTGTCCTGGATTCCCTTACTTTGCTATTCATCACTGGGGTGCCTCTTACCACTAAAGCCTCTAGCCTTGTCAGCACCTGTGTCTCCTCAAACAACTCATAATGGAGTGTTACACAAGAGCCCAGTCTTGAATCCTGGAAGGGATCCCCCTTCTTGCAACACTGTCACAAAATACTGGCTATAAGGAAGGCTGATTTATCTTATACCTACAAATTGACAAAGCAATAAAGCAAATTATTTCAACAATCTTGAATATTTTCATTTTGAAACAGAAAATCCAGAAAAGTGTTTTGTGTGGCAAATATTTTTTTTTTAACACTACTAGTAGGAAACCTACCAAACGTTTAACGTTTTGTCACGCAAAGGAATGGAAATTTGTTTTTAGGAAAGTGGTGAAAGTTAACTTGTTCAGCCGCAAAGAAAGTTAAACTGTTCAGCCACAAAGAGACTTAAGTCTGCTGGGTCTCAACAGTATAGTTATCAACCTCCAGGACCCTGTGATTTTTGGAATAGTGCACTAGTCACCAGACCTAGATCCAGTGAAACCTAGACCAGTAAAATAAAATACTTAAAATCAGAATCTGCGCGGTGAGGGAGGGGGGAAACCAGCAACCCGCAAAGGTGCGTTATCAACAGGCCATTCAACGTATAATTGTTCAACTGTTACGTCACTGTGTGACGCGTGAAGATTAGAAACTTGAAGGCACAGTCGTTGCCAGTAAGGTGGACGGGCCTTGCGTGTCTGGCCCAAGCCCCCGCAGCCTGGCAGAGTCTGAACGCCAATACGCGCTGCGGTCTCCCTGTCCGTTTCCTTCCTCTCTCCACCCCGCTTTCCCCTAGTATCTATCCACCCTCCTTCCTCTCTCCACCCCGCTTTCCCCTAGTATCTATCCACCCTCCTTTGAGGCCGTCTGCCCGCCTCCTGTTTTTTTCGCCTTTTCGTTATCGTTGACCAGGGTACGCAATGACCAACACGCTGGACACCTGCGGTCAAGTGATCCTCAACCTTCTTGGATCCAGGGCTTTTTGATAGTTTCGGCACTGGGAAGGAAGCTTCTTAAAGGTGGGCGAGGGTATTTGAAACAGAGACATTTTACAGAAAATCAGATTCGTGGAACTAAAACAGAAGTGCATCGCAGAACTTTAGAAGAAGCAGGGAAACTACGATGGCGGGGAGTGGGTGAGGAGAATTGAGGTATACTGGTGTTAGGTTTAAATGCACCCCCAAGCGGTTGATGCTAGTTCTGCAAAATTCCAACACCCCGGGAGGGGGCCGAACAGAAGCTCTCGCGAAATTAGCGTTTGATGAACGGGATTGACTAAAAGATCCCGCGAGATTATGACTTCACTAACGCGACTTGGCCAGAAAGAAGTAACGGTAGATTTAAAGGAAGTGCGGGGGTGAGGGGGGCTGTTTCCTGCCATCAGAGGCAGACGCACGGTTACGTATCAGCGGAAAGCCGTTCTAGAGAGTTTGTTTCCGGCAGGCCAAGCTGTGAGCCGGTTCCCGCGGGAGTCGTTTCAAATACGGATAGGCTAAACAAGCGGTGTGAGACCGAGAGTTCGCGCTTTTCTTCAGGCATGAGTCATGAGGCGGTGAAAAACGTACAGGAGGTGGATCAGCAGGTGAGTCAAAATGTTCCTATCCTTTCTCCGTGGGCATTTTCTCAGGATTAATTTGATTTGTGGAGCAGTGTTGACGTGACACCTTCCCTCTTCCTTTTGCTGGTTGCTTTATTTGGCTGTGGTTGACAGCAAACGAGGGAAAAGACCGACTTAAGGCATTGTTGGGGGTGGGGAGGCGGTATGGAGGAAGAAACAAATTGGTAGTGTTCTGACTTCGTTTACTAGTGTATCATGGCCCCTCACAATGGCGAATTTGGCGTGTGTGCGCGCGATCTCGGAGCGGCGTGTTTGTACTAGTACCGACTGATTAGTGGTGAGGTACGCGGTATTGGCCCGCTTTTTTCTGTTGTTCTTGGTTTTAGCTGTACGGCATTAATTTCAGGCACAATGTCGTTGGTATACAGGCGTACGGTCGCTTGCTTACGAAATTAAGTGGGAAGGGGGTTGGGCACTGGGTCTTATTTCGGAGCAATGGCGGCGGCCACTGTTGTTTCGTTGCACTGTTTTTCAGCGCTGCGCTCCGCTCACCGAAGCCCTACTGCATGGTTTGTGCTTGTGGGACCCTGGCGGACGATTTTATTTTTAGAAAATAAAACGGCAGTTTTGTTATTATTTCTTTCCGGGATTTCTTCCCGCTGTACTTTGAGTACCCCACGTGATGAGGTCCTGTTTCCGGAATGGAAAGCTTTGTGACGCAAAAGACGCGGAAGGGGAATAGTGGGAAGGGGAGTAGGAAACGGTCGCTGCTTGCTTACGTACATTCCTATCTGCGCGTAGTGGAATCGGGAAGCTGGCGGGAGGTTAGAGATTTGCAGTATTCCCTTTATTTTAAACCCACTGAATGGCCGTTAACCTGAGGATGTTAAACTTTTGAGTTGTCGTACTTTGTTGAACGTGTCGTAAGGTTAAGCGTTTGTTTTTAAGTTTCATCTGAGAGAAAATAACTAGGAAAGAGACGATTAGCAGGAAAAACTTTACATGTTACATTGCTTTCTTGTTCCTAATGTGGAAAATATTCAAATATGTCAGTCAAGACATATGCCTTTGTTGATAATGTGTGGTGTTTGGTAATATTATTCTTGAACTTTTAACGTGTCTATGTATAAACAGTATATAGTACATTTCCTGTAGCAGATAGGTGTCACTATTGCTCCTTGATCTTTTGTGCTTTTTAAAATTTATTCTGACATGTATGATTTTCCATTATTTTAATTTCTTGGTTAGTTTTTCTGAAACTCAATAAACTGAAACTTTTCTACAGTATTGAAATCCATCATTATAAAGGGACAGATATTGAAGTGAAATTAAAGGTGCTTCTCTTGTATAAACTTTTAATGTCATTTGCCCAGTCTCTTTGCATTTACCATAAAATGGCAGATAATAAATACTGCATTCACAATGTGGTAAATATTACATGATAACAGTAATAAGTGTCACATTGCGCACTAAGTGATGGGTGGTGCTGCTGTTTATGAATTTATTTGAATTAAAAAGTTGCACACTGCTGCAATATAAAGTTAAAATATTTAATTGTTCTTAAGTTATGTAGCATTTAGGGAATAAAGAACAAATCTTCAGCTTGCCCAGAAAAGAAATGACTTTGAGAATGTAACTTGTGATGACTGAGGTGATTTTACTATGCAGAATTACTTTGGGAAAAACTTGTTTTGGATGAATATATTTGAACTATCTGTACCGGTGTACTTCTTGGCATGCAGGTCCTACTTTTTGCCTTTGCCATAATTTGTAGACTTCTACAAGGTGTTAAAAATAAGAGCTTGTAATGATACAGTGTATGATTAGAATTTAGGACTTCTAATTTGTCTTTTGTAATGCTGTCTGTGCTTGATTTTTCCTTTTTTCAGCATGTGAACTATTAATGTCTCTTTTCTTCTAGTTGGCTAATTTAAACCTGAATTCTGATAATAATCAGAGTGGAGGAGGAAGTACAGCTAGCAGTGAGTAAAATTTTTATTTGTTTAGAATCTGTTAATATCTCAATACTAATTTTAAATTCAAAAACCATTCCGTGACCGTATAAATTTATAAAGTAATTTGGCATGTTTGGATAATAAGAGATTAATTGGTTCTTTTCCAGTGTAAACTCTTAATCATGCCATAGAAAATTAATATTCACACTTTGAGAAAACCTCTTATACCCAGTATGAATCCTTCTCAGACACAGAGGTGAAGACATGTTGATCTCTCTTTTGAATTGACCTGAACTTGAACTGTGTTAAACCTAATAAAGGGAACTTGTGCAATTGTGTGTTATGACTTTTGCTCATTTCCCATGAAGAAACTGAGCCTTTCTGACGGAACCTCGCTTTACTGATTCTTAGATGGTAATTCAGAGAAGGCAATGACAGCCCACTCCAGTACTCTTGCCTGGAAAATCCCATGGACAGAGGAGCCTGGTAGGCTGCAGTCCATGGGGTCTCAAAGAGTCAGACATGACTGAGAGACTTCACTTTCACTTTTCACTTTCATGCATTGGAGAAGAAACGGCAACCTACTCCAGTGCTCTTGGGAAGCCTGTTGGGCTGCTGTCTATGGGGTCGCACAGAGTTGGACACAACTGTAGTAACTTTAACAGCAGCAGCAGCAGATGGTAATTAGAACTTGAAATATTAACTATGTTATTAAAAGTTTATTTGAAAAGTTAAATTTTGGGAAAAGAGTAGTGTTTCTGCATTGTTTTTGCTACTGGTTAGAGTTAATGTCACTGTTAAGTGGATTGGGACAGGAAGTTTGTGACAGCATATCTCAGCTTGTACCTTGATTTCCAAGACAGCAGTTGGTGCACTCTGAAAATCCTCTTCAAGTCTGGTTAATTGGTATGTTATTTGTCACTATATGAATTTTTTAAAGATTTAATTCTGCCATCAGTTTTGAAGTACTTAATCTCAAGTAAAGTTAGAAATTTAGTTTTAATTTGGATTTCCTATCAGTTCCTCCTTAAAATCATCTATCCTTTACAGTTCTCATTGTTTAAATTTTTTAATGTTTGTTTTAGCAAAACAGCTGAATTGAAATTGGTTAACAGACAGGGCATATATATGGTCTTTCCTAGTAGCTTGTTTTAGTGTATATAATGCTGGGAAGGACTGGGGGCGGGACGACAGAGCATAAGATGGCTGGATGGCATGACCGACCTGATGGACATGGGTTTGGGTAGACTCTGGGAGTTGGTGATGTACAGGAGGCCTGGTGTGCTAGGGTTCATGGGATCGCAAAGAGTCGGACACAACTGAGCAACTGAACTGAACTGATTTGTTAAAGCTTGTTTCATGTGACAATTTTCTGAAAGACCAGTGTCATTCAAAATAATTATATACTAGTAGCTGTTAAAATGTGTTTCATTTTAGGAGGTTTTCCTTTAAGTAACTAAATTCAAAGAATAGCTGTTTTTAAAGTGTTTTCTAGGATGAGTTGTTTTTTCTTTGTTTTGGCATGCCATAAGGCATGTGAGATCTTGATTTCCTCACCAGGGAGCTAACCTATGTACCATCTACAGTGGGAACACAGAATCTACTGTATGAACAGGAAAATCCCTAGGACCAGCTGTATCTGGGGGATTTGATCAGTTTTTAATTTTACGTTTTTCTCTTATAGAAGGGCGCTATATACCTCCTCACTTAAGGAATAGGGAAGCATCTAAGGGTAAGTGGTTATTCAACTTTTTCTGCTTTGAAAATTAAAGCTTCAAGAATGAGGTCACTTTGGGACTGTGTACACATTTTTCTTCTATGCTTTTCTGTTTTCAAAAATTAGTACTTCTTAACTTCAGAAACATTCATGTAATTTTACATCATGTGAATTTCTTATTCCTTTTAATCAACTTTGAACCCAAACTTGCACTGGCATACTTTCACAACTTTTATCTTCTCAGGGGTGTTATTCATTCAGTGATTGTTGTTTTACTATGAGTCTGTTTTGCTTAATACAGTAATTTTTAGTGGAAAAGAGGATTTAAATAGGAAAATTTTGTTTGCTAGTGAAAACACATCTCAACCTTGATTCTCTTTTCCAGTGTTTAGATAGTAATTTCAGTGCCCTTTGGTGTCAGTCACAAGGATAAGACAAAGGAAAACTGTTTTTCAAAAGACAGGAAACTTGTAAGTCACCTTTTCTTACTCTTAACTTTTTTTGAAAGGATTTTATGGTAAAGACGTTTCAGGGTGGAGTTGTAGTAAAGAAAAGGATGCCTACAGCAGTTTTGGATCTCGAGATTCAAGAGGAAGACCCAGTTACTTCAGTGATCGAGGAAGTGGATCAAGGGGAAGGTAAATTATTGTCATGCTGTTAGTGTGTATAACATAGCATTTCAGGAATCAACTCTTAATTTTGTGTGTTCTCATTCTTTGTACTTTCCGTAGCATTTAATTTGTTGTTTTTCATTAACAGACTATTCTTCCATTATAGATAGGTAGGTTTCCCTCCCCTCTGTGCTTTGCCATGCTGCATATTGGGATCTTTGCATGTCCCCTGCAGTGGAAACACAGAATCTTAATCTCTGAACCACTAGGGAAGTTCCCCTATAGATTAGATTTTAAGGAAAATATTGGCTACTCATTTTTAACTCTAAAAGGTCTTTACTAGTTTTAGTTTGGTTAACTGGAATTAAAAGTAGTATGAATATGCTGCTTGATGTGTATATATATATCCAAATATTTCTTAACATTAATGTTATGCCTTTGTTTTTTAATTAAATATAAATTACAGATAACCATAGCTAAATTAGAAGATGTTATTTCACAAATAAGTTAGCCAATATTGAGTTACTCTTTGAAAGTTACTTGTGACCAACAATTGAATTACTAACATATAGCTCTGTTTTTGGAGACATGATAATATGGGCTAAATGACATACTCTGTAATCTGTTTGCTTGTGCTGTTTAGGTTTGATGATCGTGGGCGGAATGACTGTGAAGGTATTGGCAGTCGTGGTGACAGAACTGGCTTTGGCAGATTTGAGCGTAGTGGACACAGTCGGTGGTGTGATAAGTCGGATGATGATGATTGGTCAAAACCACTTCCACCAAGTGAACGCTTGGAGCAGTAAGTTTTTGTTATTTACGTTGGTGGGAAACTTGCCATCTAGCGTCGTACATATAACAATCATTTCATTTCAGGGAGCTCTTTTCTGGAGGAAACACTGGGATTAACTTTGAGAAGTACGACGATATACCAGTAGAGGTAACTGGCAATAACTGTCCTCCACACATTGAAAGTGTAAGTATTTTATTTGACTTTTTAACTGTTGTTTACAGTTACTGCTGAAAATTTCACTGGGTTATGTATGAGAAAGGAGAGACAGACTAATGTCACCATTTTGAGGACACCTTAATTAGGAAACATGTCAAATATGCAGAAAACCTCAGAACTACTATGTTGCAGATTAGACTTTCAAAAGTCTATTTTCTTACAAAGAACTGGATACTTTCACTTAAAATCCAAAGCAGCTGTACATTTAATCACAATTAGACATTTAGCTATTAAATTCCATTCTAATGCTAATATAAAACAATGCAGCAGAACATTAAGGCATTTTTATCTAGTTTATATATTTATTTGATAATCTGGTTAAATTTTATTAACAGTTCAGCGATATTGCAATGGGAGAAATTATTATGGGAAACATTGAGCTTACTCATTATACACGTCCTACTCCAGTGCAAAAACATGCCATTCCCATTATTAAAGAAAAAAGAGACCTGATGGCTTGTGCCCAAACAGGTAAGTTCATTAATGGAGAATACCTGGACTAGCTTTGTAAAAACAGAGAAAGGCCTGTGTCCTAAATTTAACTTGATTTTATAGTGAGGGAAGTATTAGCTGGGCATATCTTTTATGTCTTTCAATCCTTTGGATAAAACTAGTGTTTTTATCAGGGCATCTTGGGGAAGTTTATAGCAATATTGTCAGCCAGTTGATATTGCTGACTTCCCAAACTGAGTACAGAGCAGGGGAAAATTATGAAGTCAGTGGAAGGAAAGTTAGCAATATAATTGGGATATGAAATGTATAGTCAGGGAAGAGCCTGTGATCCTGAGAAAGGAAAAGGTGCATGTCATCCTTTAGTGTTTTATGAGTTGGGGACTGAGAGGGCTGTAGTAGTACTGTTTAGTCCTGTATCAGAATTTGACATAGGTTAAAGAGTACAAATCTTAACTTTGGTTATGTACTGAACTTTTTGTATGGGTGTGTATATGTAAATATTATAAATTTAAATCATTTATCATTTTTTATACTTTTTTTTTTTTAAGCAGTAGGTAATTTCTTTATATGTAACTGGCCTTTGGGACAAGACCAACACTTGTTTTTTTAAGTAATGTTTTCTTGCAGTAGTTAGTACCCATGGCTTTTATTTTGCAAAGTAAGAGAATGATCTACAACGTCCTTTGCTAGTAGGACTTTCGTAAGAAAGTTTGCTGACATTCTACCAGCTGCCAAATAACAAAAAAATTTTGAAGTAGAAGTTGATGCCAATTTAAAAATAAAAATAATTGTGTTCTTCTGTAGATTGTTGCAAAGAAGTATATGTTGATCTGTTAAAAATGGATCACAAATCACTCAGCATTCTTCACTTAGTTGTATAAATGCATTTGTCACAGAATTAGGCATTAAGTAAAAAAAAATTTTCTCACTAAATGGGTATTTAGAATACTTTTTTTATTATTCAAAGTTAATAAGCCATTATTTTTTTAACAGGGTCTGGGAAAACTGCAGCATTTCTTTTGCCCATCTTAAGTCAGATTTATACAGATGGTCCAGGCGAGGCTTTGAAAGCTGTGAAGGTAGAGATTTGTTTATAAAACAAAAAGGTTTTCCTTAGAACAATGTTTGTCATCATTTGTTGGAACTTTTCTTTCAAGTAAATATACTCTCTTTCATTAGTCTGTTAACTCAATAAAAGTTCATTTTCAAATATAGTTCTTAAATTACAGAAGGGATTTTATTGTCACGAACTTTAGAAATGAATAAAAAAAGATTTGAATCTTTTGATTTTAATTTATAAATTGTACTTAATTCTTAGGAAAATGGAAGGTATGGACGCCGTAAGCAGTATCCAATCTCCTTGGTTTTAGCCCCAACAAGAGAGTTGGCTGTACAGATCTATGAGGAAGCCAGGAAAGTAAGTATGCATTTTGCTGATTATTGACTTTTTTAATAGATTCTAGTGTAGTTTTTATGACTATCTAATAAATTATTGCTTGCAGTTTTCATACCGATCTCGACTTCGTCCTTGTGTGGTATATGGTGGTGCTGATATTGGTCAACAGATTCGAGACTTAGAACGTGGATGTCACTTGTTAGTTGCCACTCCAGGACGTCTGGTAGATATGATGGAAAGAGGAAAGGTTGGGTTAGATTTCTGCAAGTAAGTTGATTTTTATATATGAAGTATAATTAACTTGTATATTAGTATTCATCAGTTTTGTAGTATTTTGTAAAGTAGTAGCTGATCTGCTTGGTTCATTGTAACAGATAACAGCTAATTTGGTTATGTGATCTGTATGTGGTTTACATAGTGAAATTTGAATCTCAAATGTTAGAATGACTGTATTAGCATAAATCAGTATAGGCACAACAAAAATTAAGTTTCTTATCAAATTCTAAACTTAAGTTTCTCATCAAATTCTGAACTATCTTTTTAATAACAGATACTTGGTGTTGGATGAAGCTGATAGGATGCTGGATATGGGATTTGAACCTCAGATACGTCGTATAGTTGAACAAGACACTATGCCACCAAAGGGTGTTCGCCATACCATGATGTTTAGTGCTACTTTTCCTAAGGAAATTCAGGTAGTTCCTTTTTTTTGAAAAAAGAACATTTGTATAGATGTTTTCTTGAGTTAATGTTAGTTAAAATAGGAAAAAAGTAAAGACTTCCTTGACCCTCTTTCAGATGCTTGCTCGTGATTTCTTGGATGAATATATCTTTCTGGCCGTAGGTAGAGTTGGCTCTACCTCTGAGAACATCACACAAAAAGTAGTTTGGGTGGAAGAGGCAGACAAACGGTCATTTCTACTTGATCTCTTAAATGCAGCAGGTAAAATTTTGAGTAATTATATTGCTAGATATTAAAGAGACTATTAAAATACCTTTAGCCTATACCCTGTGTTTACTCACCCTTCTGACCATGGATGTAAAGCTGCTTTTTCATTATCTCCATGTGCATTCCTTCTGAGTGCAAAGAGAAGTAGCAAATCATTAATATTTAGATCAAGCAATGATGCAAAGTTGCTATTAATAAAGAAAAGATAAAGTATTTTTTATCAATAATTTTTCAGGGAAGGATTCGCTGACTTTAGTTTTTGTTGAGACCAAAAAGGGGGCTGATTCTTTGGAGGATTTCTTATACCATGAAGGATATGCTTGTACAAGTATCCACGGAGACCGCTCACAGAGAGATAGAGAGGAAGCTCTTCATCAGTTCCGCTCAGGAAAATGCCCAATTCTAGTGGCTACTGCTGTGCGTATATTTTCTGCTCTTTTTTCTTTTTTTTTTCTTTTTTCAATTACACATCTTTGAATATTGCCTTATTTTAACAAAAATTGCTTTTTTTAGGTGGCAGCAAGAGGACTAGACATATCAAATGTGAAACATGTCATCAATTTTGATTTGCCAAGTGATATTGAAGAATATGTACATCGGATTGGCCGTACAGGACGTGTAGGAAACCTTGGTAAAGTGTTTGGTTGCTTGCTGGTTGACACAGTTTTAAATCCTAGAACTTGTTTTCAAGGGAAAGTTGACATCGGATGTCAGACAGTTTAATATTGTGTATTGTTTATATTTTTGTTTTCTGATTAATGTTCTAGACCTCATTTACTTTTTTTGGATTCTTGTAGGTCTTGCCACCTCATTTTTGAATGAAAGAAATGTAAATATTACAAAAGATTTGTTGGATCTTCTTGTTGAAGCCAAACAAGAAGTGCCATCCTGGTTAGAAAATATGGCTTATGAACACTATTACAAGAGTGGCAGTCGTGGCCGTTCTAAGAGGTACGGATAGTTTTAAACCTTTGTCATTAATATCATCTGGGAAAGGAATTTTGTCCAGGGTTAACTAAAAACTGCCATTACTATACAAGTGACATTTTCAGAAAGGATAGCGTGGAGTAAATGCCAGAGGAAGAAGCCACATGGAAATGAGTTGAAGTTGAGGACTGGAAAGTTTATGCATGGAAATTGTCGTTTTATTTCAATTATGTTCTTAAAAACCATCATATCTTTTTCCTTGTAATATAGATTCAGTGGAGGATTTGGTGCCCGTGATTATCGACAAAGTAGCAGTTCTGGCAGTTCTAGCTATAGTAGTGGTCGTGCAAGCAGCAGCCACAGTAGTGGAGGTGGTCATGGCAGCAGCAGAGGATTTGGTGGAGGTAATAGTGTAATTTTCCCCCTTTTATATAAATTTTTGCAAGGGATTCCCCCCTTTTTCAAAGCATAACTTGAGAAATTTTATTTGTGAAGAACACAACCAAATAATACAGTGTTTTTTATTAGGCTTATATCAGACTACTAGAAAAAGGAAATATGGCTGACTAATTTGTCTTTTTTTTTAACATTTCTTGATAGGTGGCTATGGAGGCTTCTACAGTAGTGAAGGATATGGAGGAAATTACAGCTCTCAGGGGGTTGACTGGTGGGGCAACTGAATCTGCTTTGTAACCAAGTCACTTAAAAAAAACTACAATGGAAACCACATGTAACTTTGCCAGATTGTTTTGTGTAGAAAGGAGATCTTGTAGTGCGTTACCCACAGTGATTCCTCTGAAAATTCAAGGAAGCTTAAAGCCAAAAGAAGGAAAAAGAACAATCAACAACTCCATTGGTTTGAAAACTTAATTGCTATGGTTTGGATTAACTTCCCTTCTGCTTGTTTCCACCCCAAACTGCATTTATAATTCTGTGATTGAGGATCATTTGTTTGTTAATGTACTATGACTTTTAAGTTTATAGACAGCTTATTATTTTGATGTCCTGTTGGCTCAGTAATGGTCTCGTTTTCATGTATTCATGGAATAAATTCACTAAATTTGGGCTAAGATCACACCTTGGCACACAGGTGTGATACAGCTTACTTAACAGGAATTGTTAATTCACATCTATTACAAAGTAAGAAAACTTGAGCAGTAACTTGCATTAGGACTTAATATTTGGAGATTGGGGAGAAAAATATCTTACAGCAGAATTACCTTCTGATGTGGCAAACTGTACTTATTTAAATTTGTACTTGCTCATTCTATCCTGGATAGGCATTTATAAATTATAAATAAGCCATTCCAGTCATGATAAGGTTGCATGTATGAATGCATCCATACATTTTTCAAAGCATTCTTGAAGTTAATGGAAGTAAATATAACAGTCCCTCTTAATTCTAAGATAGGCAAGTCGGGTATATGTTACCACAGGAGAAGTTTGAAAATTTGATTATAAAAAAGTATTTAGTGAAAATTTCATCTAATTAGATTTTTTTCCTGCCTGCCCTGAGTAAAATTGAAATGGTAGTATGGTTGACCATGCCAGTGACCAGTCCTTTTATGGATCAGCTTGGGTTTTGGTCTTAAATGCATGCTAGTGTTGATGTTTTTTGGTCAGAAGGATATGAGCAGGAGGGATCATGCAGCAGGCTTTACTTTATTGCAGATTTTCTTTACTCTCTTTACACTGCGTTGAAATGTTTAAATGGCTTACATTTGTGGACTTTGTCAGTCAGCATAACAACACACAAATCCTTGAGATTACACGGGTTAGAAATATGTACTAAGCTGCTCAAGTTGTTTTTTCTGTATAGTATAATTATATTTTAGTTGCATAGGTTTCCGTTGTATTTTACAGTTGTTTTCTGCTAAATTTGGCTAAAGATGATTATTCACCAACTAAAATTGTCTCCGTCACTTGGAATTGGTACTTTTCTCTGGTTGGATAATAATCCAACATAATTAATAATCTTAACAATGGCATAAGAAGGCAAAAATTTCTTACAAGTGCAATAATAGATTTTCAGGTGTATTGTGCCTTGTTCTAAAACTATTAGATAGGTGCACTTGACAGTATTGAGGTCATTTGTTACGGTGCTATTTCAATTAGTGTAGGTTTAGACTCTTGTACATTTGACTCATAAATTTTTTACAAAGTACTTATTTTATTGCACATTAAGAGAATTTTTAATATATATATATATATATGTCTTTTGTGCATGTTCTTAAACTTCCAATCTTACTTTGTCTCTTGGAGATTGTTGAACACATCTTTTTAGAACTAGATTCTAAAATTTTATTTGGGACCATTGAATGATGATTGGGAAGAAAACTCTTTGCACATGACAGATTTTAGATACTTTTTTGCTGCTAGTGCTAGTCTGTGTAGTATTTATTGAAACATTTTGACCAGTATTTATTTTTGTAAACCTTAAAGTTATTCTTTGAAAGTTTAAAGAAACTTGACCAAAAGACAGTACAAAAACACTGGCACTTGAATGTTGAATGTCACCGTATGTTACATAATAAATTTCAGGTTAGTGTGAGCTTTAATGTTAGGTCTTACTACACTTTTAGTCAAACTAAGCAGACCCAGCATTGACTTTGTAGATAGCTTTAACTTTCTAACAAAATGTAAAAGAAACTTCGCAACTTGAAGCTATAACATGCCAAGGTTTTGATATGATGTTATCTTAAAACACTTCTAAACACTTATGAAGTGTCCACATTTTCAGAAATTCTATAGAGTTCTATTTAGTTCCATATGTTTGTTTTTCAGTGTCTGGCCTTTTTCTCAACCATGTGGTTATCTTTGTGTATTGCCATATCAGTGACTTACATTTAAGTTTTGTCAGCCAGCAATATTTTCAGTAAATAAGAATGGATTTTAATTTGCCAAATGTAGACATTGAACCTCAAGTCACTGTAAGTTTAGTAATTGCTTAATGTATTAGTTTTCGATCCTTTCACTGCATGTGCTGTGTTTACTCTGACTTTACTAAAATAAAGAATACAATCTTTGCTGTCAGTTATGGTTTAATGAGAGGTAGAAATGAATTTGTGCCCTCCCCATGAAAAGTTTGAATGTGAGATTTCTTGCTTATTTGTAGAACTAATTTATGAAAGACCTCTTTTAGTTTTAAGTATTTGAATAAATGACAAAGATGGTATTACGGAAGGTATATGGAGAAACAATTTTAATCTTAAATCACAGAAATCTAAATGACCTATATAGCATGTATTGCATCTATCAATGTAAGAATCAAGAATTAGAATAGGTAACCTATGGCAGAAGTGCCCAGTTTCCAACTTTTGGTCCTTTCTGTTGGCTGATAAATCAGTATTACCACTGTTACCATGCAGTGATGCTGGCAGCTGTGCCACATAACAGATTTTGTTAAAAGAACCAAATCAATTTAACATGTTAACATTACAGTAGTTCTATGACACATGGTTTTTGTTTTATTTTTAAACTTCAGTGTCCTTGTGTCCCCTTATTAGAACTAACCTCCCATGTTTCCTAACTTCTTTTACTGTAGACTGGCTTTCATCTGTAAATCAGTGTGTTCTTGTACAGTTTCTTGCAGTCAGCATTCTGTCTGTGTGATAAAATATTGTCTATAGTTTCAGTCTAACCGCTGTGTTGAATTATCTTCTGTGCTGAACTTATCAGGGTGGTTTCCAGGTTGTGGTTATGTTAAATTATTTATGACACCTATTAAAGAAAAGGAAGAAAATAACTTTATTCAAGAGGGTCTACATGGGCGCTTGCAGTATGGGAGAAAGACTACTGCTTTCTCCCATAGATTTAGCTGATTCAGGGATTCCTTGAATCCCATAGATTCAGCTGCTCTGAATGCATCTTGGGCAAATGGTAATTTATAGCCAAAGAGCAAGGTGGGAAATGGGTGTGAGTAGTTAGAAAAATAGAAAGGAGAAGACCAAGGTGGGGGTTGTATTTTGCTTAACCAATGTAAGAAGTCTCTTTGCTGAAGGTAGATTAGGGTAATAGGTAGCACCTGGTGGGTTGTTGGGGAGCTAAGAAATTGCCACTGAGAATACTAAGATACTGAGTATAACCCAACTGACCTAGGATTCTTGTTAAAACGAGACTGTACAAACAATGGATGTCAAAAATTTGAGTCCTAGTTGGAAAAGAGGAGGAGCACAAATTTGGTCCAGGATAGAACCTCAGCTTTTCTGAAAGACATGTTCATATCTAGTGGATACATTCTAAAGTAGAACTGGATAACATATTCTGTATCTTTCCATTAGATACTCCCTATTTTCTAAAGCAGTTATTTATTGGTTTACACTTCTTTCACAATTGTTATCAAGAGTCTGGTTGCTCCATACCCTCACCATTTTTTGACTTATTTTAAAATTTCAGATATTCAAGTATGTGTATATTGAAAATCGTTTTAATTGGTATTTTGCTCTTGACGAGTGATTTACATTTGAGCCATTTTGTTGAGGTCAATATAGGAAAAAGTAACATGACCTTACCAATTTAAGAACATACTAACAGGAAAAATCTGAAATTTGTTTTTTCCAGGAAAAGATAAGTGAAGTTGGATTAGCAAGATACTGATAATTGTTTAGATTGGGTAATTGGGAACAAAGAGGTTCAATTATACATTTGTGTTTTGATATAAGATTCTTTTTCATGTTAAAAATTAGTAAATAATTACTGGGAGACGGGTAAAATACATGTACAGTCTTTTTCATGTTAAAAATTAGTAATAAGTTGTAGAGAGATGGATAAAATATATACGTGGTCTTAACTAACCCTAACCATCACATGAATGCATATTGTAGGCTAAGGAATAAAAAACTCCAGGAAGCAAGAAAGAAAGCCTAACATGTTAAGAACTATATAATGATTCTTGTATATGAATAGCTAGTCTCAATTTTTCACATAGATCCAACCCAAACAGCAAAAACTGAAATGACTGTACACTCATACCTTCCCTAAATTTTGTCAATCAGGGTGTGTATTTTCATGGTGGCCCTGCTTTCTCAATGAAAGGGGATTTAGTTACAAAGCCAGGAAAAGCTTTATGTCTGACCCACCTTGCAAGTAATGCAAAGGGGTAAATATCCATACTGTAATAATTGAATAGATTGGTATACACAGAGCTGAAGGAAATAAGATACAGCACTGATCAGGAAAAACCTTTTTTTTTTTTTTTAAATTGGAGGCTAATTGCAATATTGTAGTGGGTTTTGCCATACATTGAGCACATCTGTGTACATGTGTTCCCCATCCTGAACCTCCTTCCCCATCCCATCCTTCAGAGTCATCCCAGTGCACCAGCCCTGAGTGCCCTATGTCATGCATCGAACCTGGACTGGAGAGCTGTTTCACAATTGATAATACACGTTTCAATGCTATTCTCTCAGATCATCCCACCCTCACCTTCTCCCACAGAGTCCAAAACACTGTTCTATACATCTGTGTGTCTCATGCTGTTTCGCATATAGGGTTATCATTACCATCTTTCTAAATTCCATATATATATACATTAGTATACTGTATTGGTGTTTTTCTTTCTGACTTCACTCCGTATAATAGGCTCTGGTTTCATCCACTTCATTGGAACTGATCCAAATGTATTCTTTTTAATGGCTGAGTAATATTCCATAGTGTATATGTGCCTCAGCTTTCTTATCCATTCATCTGCTGATGGACATCTAGGTTGCTTCCATGTCTTTGTTAGCCATCTGTACGTCTTCTTTGGAGAAATGTCTGTTTAGTTCTTCGGCCCATTTTTTGATTGGGTTGTTTATTTTTCCGGAATTGAGCTGCAAGAGTTGCTTGCATATTTCTTTTGTCAGTTTCTTCGTTTGCTTTTATTTTCTCCCATTCTGAAAGCTGTCTTTTCACCCTGCTTATAGTTTCCTTCATTGTGGAAAAGCTTTTAAGTTTAATTTGGTCCTATTTGTTTATTTTTGCTTTTATTTCCATTACTCTGGGAGGTGGGTCATAGAGGATCCTGCTGTGATTTATGTTGGAGAGTGTTTTGCCTGTTTTCATCTAGGAGTTTTATAGTTTCTGGTCTTAGAAAATAATCAATTTTGAGTTTGTTTTTGTCTTAGAAAGTGTTCTAGTTTCATTCTTTTACAAGTGGTTGACCAGTTGTCACAGTACCACTCTAAAGAGACTGTCTTTTCTCTATTGTATGTTCTTGCCTCCTTTGTCAAAGATAAGGTGTCCATAGGTGCATGGATTTATCTCTGGGCTTCCTCCTTTGTCAAAGATAAGGTGTCCATAGGTGCATGGATTTATCTCTGGGCTTTCTATTTTGTTCTGTTGATCTATATTTCTGTCTTTGTGCCAGTACCAAACTGTCTTGATGACTGTAGTTTTGTAGGATAGCCTGAAGTCATGCTGATTTCTCCAGTTCCATTCTTCTTTTCTCAAGATTGCTTTGTCTATTTTAGGTTTCTTGTATTTCCATACAAATTGTGAAATTATTTGTCCTACCCCTGTGAAAAATATTGTTGGTAGCTTGATAGGGATTGCATTGAATCTATAGATTGCTTTGTGTAGTATACTCATTTTCACTATATTGATTCTTCTGATGCATGAACATGATATGTTTCTCCATCTCTGTGTATCCTCTGATTTCTTTCATCAGTATTTTATAGTTTTCTGTATATAGGTCTTTTGTTTCTTTAGGTAGATTTATTCCTAAATATTTTATTCTTTTCATTGAATAGAATTGTCCTTAATTTCTCTTTCAGTTTTCTCATTGTTAGTGTATAAGAATGCAAGGGATTTCTGCATGTTAATTTTATATCCTGCAACTTTACTATATTCACTGATTAGAAATTTTCTGGTGGAGTCTTTAAGGTTTTCTATGTAGAAGATCATGTCATCTGCAAACAGAGTTTTACTTCTTTTCCAATCTGGATTCCTTTTATTTCTTTTACTGCTTTGATTGCTGTGGCCAATACTTAGAAAACTATGCTCAATAGTAGTGGTGAGAGTGGGCACCCTTGTCTTGTTCTTGACTTTAGAGGAAATGCTTTCAATTTTTCACCATTGAGGATAATGTTTGCTGTGGGTTTGTCATGTATAGCTTTTATTATCATGAGGCATGTTCCTTCTATTCCTGCTTTCTGGAGGGTTTTTGTCATAAATGGATGTTGTTTTATCAAAGGCATTCTCTGCATCTATTGAGATAATCATATTCTTATCTTTCAGTTTGTTAATGTGGTATATTACTTTGATTTGTGAATATTGAAGAATCCTTGCATTCCTGGGATAAAGCCCACTTGGTCATGATGTATGATCTTTTTAATATGTTGTTGGATACTGTTTGCTAGAATTTTGTTAAGGATTTTTGCGTCTATGTTCATCAGTGATACTGGCCTGTAGCTTTCTTCTTTTGTGGCATATTTGTCTGGTTTTGGTATTAGGGTGATGGTGGCCTCATAGAATGAGTTTGGCAGTTTACCTTCCTCTGCAATTTTCTGGAAGAGTTTGAGTAAGGTAGGTGTTAGTGCTTCTGTAAATTTTTGGTAGAATTCAGCTGTGAAGGTCTCTGGTCCTGGGCTTTTGTTTGCTGGAAGATTTCTGATTACAGTTTCAATTTCTGTGCTTGTAATGGGTCTGTTAAGATTATCTATTTATTCCTGGTTCAGTTTTGGAAAGTTATACTTCTCTAAGAACTTGTCTATTTCTTCCAAGTTGTCCATTTTATTGGCATATAGTTGCTGATGGTAGTCTCTTATGATCTTTTGTATTTCAGTGTTGTCTGTTGTGATCTCTATTTTCATTTCAAATTTTGTTGATTTGATTATTCTCCCTTTGTTTCTTGATAAATCTGGCTCATGGTTTGTCAATTTTATTTATCTTCTCAAAGAACCAGCTTTTAGCTTTGTTGGTTTTTGCTATGGTCTCTTTTGTTTCTTTTGCATATATTTCTGCTCTAATATTTAAGATTTCTTCCCTTCTACTAACCCTGGGGTTCTTCATTTCGACCTTTTCTAGTTGCTTTAGGTGTGGAGTTAGGTTATTTA